TCGTACTACTCGCTCTTGGAAAAACGGTCATCCCACTATATTATAGGTATATTTGACGAAAAATATTTGCAAAGGAATGTACAGGATGATTCAAAAATGAGTTCACAACGTTGAAAATTCATATAAATTTATTGAAAGTAGCTACAGAGCTCAAGGGGACCAGCTTTACCGTACTTGGCAGGTTTGTTGTCACGAACTTGCTACCTACTAGCTAACTACACGACTCAAGACCTGATAACATTAAAGCCAGCTCTGTAGGTCCTGTCAATGAATTTATATAAATTTGTAAGAAACCCTCATAAGGTAAACGTATTGTGTAGGTTTCAAGGCGAATTTTATCAACTTTAGCCACGTGCATCCATTTTAATGTAAAAGCACTACAGAAAATTCTGCTTAACGAAAATTAAATAACTTTAATGACCCATAAACATATCTAAAATTCTCAAAAGGACATGAAGGTCTGTTACATGCTCAAAGGCTATACAGGACAATAAAAACTCATGGAGTGAAAACATTTGAAGAAGTCTAATAGAGCCTCTTAACGCCTTCAATGAATCGCCCTGTACATAAGGCATAGTCGATCATATTGTATTGTTTTGATATAATATTTAAGAAAGGATGTAAAAGAGAAACACCGGACCTCTACCTCCTTAATAATTAGAATATCATGAAGGGTAGAACGTATGTTTCACAACAATATTTTATTTTATCATCATTCTCAAGTTAGGCATATTTTCTTTTGGTGCCGTAGACAAATGCATTTTTTACATACAGGGTGGTGCCTAGCGCAACGCAGCATAGGGATTTCAATGGTAATTTCTTTATAGTCAATTACTAGCTCCCCTAATTATTTTAGGGCAAAAGTCTAAATAAGTTTTTTTTTAGAGAAAAAAATACTGCATCTGTTCATACTTTTAGTTATAATTTTCCATTTTTCAAAACCGTAGAAATCGACAAAATAAAAAATTAAATTTTTATAAATCAGTGATGCTTTGGAATCTTTTAACAAACTACAAGCGCATCGCATCTAAGTTATTGTTGTTTGACGTCGAACGATTTTCATATTTAATTCTGTTACAACTATCCGATGCAAGAAAAAGCGGCAATTGGGTAATGTTTTTTTAGAGAATGTATGCTGCATCTGCATCAGATATAATTTGTTTATCAGAGAGAATCAGAGTACCTCCATAATCGAAGAAAAAAAACTGATTTGAAGCAGATTTGTTCCTAAACTTATATTCAGATTTTCCGCTACTGCAGCCAAAACGTTGAATGTATTGTCGTTTTCCTGATGGTTTTGACGGACATTTTGAACGTTATTGCACTTGCAGTTCTTTAACTAATTTATAAACAAGTATAAACTTAATATATAGGTCAAAGGCAAATAATGAAACATGATCGCTATTTTTTTAGGTAATTCCAAGGCATATCTGATTTATTGTAAAATGAACCTTTTTATTTTTTTCTCTAAAAAAAACTTATTTAGACTTTTGCTCTAAAATAATTAGGGGAGCTAGTAATTGACTATAACGAAATTACCATTGAAATCCCTATGCTGCGTCGCGCTAGACACCACCCGGTATAGCACAGCTGTACCTGGTTTTTCGATTTCGCTTCTAGGACAGAATGTGCATCAGTGCATCTATCAATAGTAGGTAGTAGCCAGTCTTGTTGGTATTGTATTGGATATTTTTAATACATGACAAATAGTTTCTGGAAGTTCACGCCTCAAAGTCGGACATTCCAAACGACATTCCATTTGAGATCAAATCATGTGTCAGTTTTTTCAAGTAAGCCCTTCTGTTGGGAACAATTTCTTTTTCCGGCGCATCAGAACCACTTAAAAAGATCATCGAGTTATACCCCACAATATTTAGCAAATGTAGCTCAGTGGTATTTGGTTCATCACCTGTTTGAGGAATTGTTGAAACCATTCCCTTTCTTTTCAATTTTGGGGGACAATATCATAAAAGTGTAATTTGTTCACTATAGCAAAACATAGAGCAATTTATTTGCCTGTCCATGTGCTTCAAAAATAATGAAGGAATTTCTTTTTTGTTTCGCCTCATGGTACCAACGATGGTAATCTTCTTGTCTGAAGGAATTTTAGCCGTCTCTATAGATGTGAACAAGTTATCCATTGTCAAATTACTGTTAGTTCCTTGAAACCAAGAGGTAAGTTTCTCGCAATAATACTGGGATGCAGGAATACCACGAGGTGTGGAGTCCTTGCGTATACCTATAAACTTCAGCATCACAACACAATTTTAATTCCATATTTATCGGGTTTTGAAGGTATGTACAATTTTAACGGACATTTGCCTCGGAATGCAACCAACTGTTCATCAATTGTAGTGTATTGCGAGGGTACATATGGGGTCTTCATTTTGTTATGAATCTTTCAAACACTTCTTGGAATATTACAAGTTTGTCTGTCTCTCTTCTTTGAGCTCTGGTGTCTTTATATCGAACCGGAGACAATTTACTAAAACTCGAAATTGTGTTGCTGGCATTGTTGCCCGAAATATTGGTACGCCACTGTATTTATCAAAAAATTATTTGGTTAATACTCCTTTCCTCTTCATTACTCCAGAACAATAAAATATTCCAAACAGAGTCTGGATTTCAATATTACCCATTTGGGGGAGTTTTTGGGGTGACGGCCCAACGCCTCGGCGCTGGGGTTTGAGAGGGTATTTAGACCCTTAAAACAAAGCACCTTGTCTCTAATGTGTTGAACGTTATCCATGTAAAACCATGGATAGTCCCTGTGCTAAGAGCGAAGTTGATGGACAAATGTAGTAACGCAATTTCCCTTTGTGTGCGTTAAAAGGCAAGGGTGTCCAATTTAGGGATTCTGATAATAGAAAACGGGGTGGGAAATTTTCTAACTTCGTCTTGCTGGTAAAACTTTGCGTGTGTACAACGTAAACTGTCCCTATACTAATGAAATAGCCAAATAGGTAGTTTTAATTGTTAAAGTCGTTAAGTTTAAAGAAACACGCATTGACGCATTACCTACATTAGTTGGCAACGATTTTTTGTGTTACTACCTTTTTTGTAGGAAAAAGTTCTATATCATATAGAAGTAATCACAAGAACTACGGCGGTAAACCAACGTTCCGATATATTTCAAATCTTCTGGTGATCAGTGAGCATTTCCATGTTATAGCAGTCGATATTTGAAGGTTGGTGAGTCTTGCGAATCACCCTGTATAACTACAAGCTACTTTAGTAATAGTAGTTTCGTCTCTTCAACTCATAAACAAAAGTGTACCATTGTTGCCCTTGCCACACTATAGTTAGGTCATGTACGAGAACATACAAAATGACCTATCAAAAAACTATTTTCTGTTTTTCCGTGCGAAAAAAATGACACAATCAGGCCCTGGATCTTTGAGTTTGAGCGTTTGATTGATTGGTTTCGAAAAACGTTGTATGCCTTCAAACATACATCCATACATTGTCATGAACGTTTTCCAATTAAAACAAAGAGCGTGTTTATAACCATCACTGCGATGTGGGGTGTTTTGGAAACTAAACGACCAAAACTGAAGGAAACTTCAATATGTGATACCCGTAAACGATTTCAATGAACGACATTGTACGAATATCTCCGGTAACCCGGTAAATTCAGTGACATAGGACAAGTGCAATTAGAGTCAACAAAACTCTTATCGCAAAGGAGGTCATATTGTAATGAAAATCCAATTTTCTGCATAATTTCCTTGCCTTTTTAAAAATATTTGAAAAAGCATATATAAATATGTATAAACGGCGCAATTTACAGGATCAATTTAATACCAGAACTAAACCGTAACGAAAGCGCTTTTTACCGCCCGCACGTTAGTACGGGAGGTATTGGATTGGGGTAAAATATGACCCCCACTTTATTAAGGGAAATACGGGTTTTGAAGCACCAGTAATCCGAATCAAACAAACAAACAAAATCTCGATTACGTCGATCCGTCTGTCTGTCTGTACTCTAATCGATTGAACTGATTGGAACCAAATTTGTGATTATGAAATTTTATGCTTAAATTCCTCCATATCTCCGTATAATGACACGTGCTTTCATTGTCTATATCACTCCAATTCCTCTTTAAAATGGTTAAAAAATAGCAAATATAGGGATTAATAAGATTTTTAATGAACACGTTTATTTATGATTTTCTATTGCGGCTATCGATTTCGACCAGTGGTCATCTTCAGACCGAGCGATAATATATATGGTGTTAATCTAACAGTGTATGTGATGATGTTATCTTACAATCAATGATAGAGTGAAAGATGCCTGTAAGATAACATCATCACATACACTGTTAGATTAACACCATATATATATCGGCCTGAAGATGACCATTAGTCGAAATCGATAGCCGCAATACAAAATCATAAATAAACGTGTTCATAAAAATCTTATTAATCCCTATATTTACTTATACAACACGTTTCATAGATGGAACAATACATCCTACTAAAAAAATAGGTACCATGTTACTATTAACCAAAAAGAAAGTTTACCAAGCTATAACTGTTGCCACTGCTGCCGCCATCACTAAATAACACTTTACAAAATTAATCATAAGATGACCGGTCAAAACCAAAAAAATAAAAAAAGTATCCACCCCTAGTTACGTTCACTGTTTTTACAATTAAACTGATTCTTCCATTTGCTTGTTACGTTTGTTTTAGTATCTATAATGAGTATAACTTGATTTCTCTTTGTGTGTCACTATCAAGGGACCATTTGTTAATGATCCTTCGACCATTTGCTAATGATCATTCCCGCTCGACTTGCCACTGATGAAGAAAATTCACTCTCAATGTCAATGTTAATGTCGCTGTCTCCAGTTACGTAAGCTACACGAATATGCTGAAACTATGAGTACGCTAAATCCTTCTCGTACTGCTCCAAATTTTTCTTGCCATTCTATCAATCTATGAGGTCACTAGTAAAATTGCGATATATAACTAACACTGCATTTGTACGTGTATAGGTTTGATGTTCTCGTGAATGGGGGAGGGGCAGTCACATTACAATTTCAAAGATCTCCCTTTCGACCATTAACCAGAACGGTTTTTGTACCATGGAATCAAATTGTTGTTCTCGCACCTGTTCGCATGGAACTGAGCGAAGACTCGCATCCCGATAACGTGCACTCAAGGTAGCTATAAAGCACTGCGAATTCTAGATTTAATCTGCTATGTTTAGTTTCCTCACCAGAAACCCAGCTATTAATTTCCCAGGAGTTTCTCGGTCATTTTTCGATATGAACGGAGGATTTCCCGAATCATGTGATGATCACGATTCTGAGTTGCTCAAGCCCGTTATAACGGGAACTTGGATGCCTGATGCGGTCGGTGGGCTGCCTGGGCGAAGCGTTATCTTCGCCGAAACGCAAATTGTGCAAGAATCAATTCCGATACCCGGTTCAGAATTGCATTTGATGTACAGAAGCTCGCAAGCTGCCGGTTATTACAGCACAGTGCATATGAGATTAACGGGGGCGACCATACCAAAAACGTTAACGCACGTACACGTGAGAGTGGAAGTCGAAGGATCCTTGCACGTGAAAACGTACGAAGCCGATCCCAATCTTACCCATACGTTTCCGTGGAATAAAAGAAACGTGTACAAGCAGAAAGTTTATGGTATTGCGCAGGCTAAAATATCTATAGGGTATGAGCACTCCACGTGCCTAGAGCCCGTATGGGAGACTCAAACGGCAACTTTGCAAGGTTTTGATGTCGATATATCGGACATCGGAGGCTGGGGGTTAGATATTCACCACCATTACAATTTTCACGAAGGAATTCTACAAAAAGGTGACGGTTCCACGCTTCATCTTAAAGAATACCCCCGCATGGTCCAGGTCATCATGGGGACCGGTCTGCAAAGATCGCTAGATTGTCCCGATCAATGTGGCGGCCCGGCGAAAGACGCCAAACTACTTACACCGGTAGCCTTGGCCAGTGGTCCAGACGGTAGTATATACGTTGGCGATTTTAATTTAGTAAGAAGGATAACGCCTGAAGGTAATGTTTACACCGTCCTACAATTAAGGTAAATGTCACTGTTATGGAAATAGCGTACTAGTAGGTACCATTTTAGGGCAACGCAGGTGGCGTACCAATATTATTTGGCTGTGTCTCCAGCCGATGGGCATTTGTACATCTCGGACCCAGAAAAACATCAAATTCTTAAGGTAATAACATTAGAGCCGATCGAAGATCCGAGCATCAATATTGAACCGGTAGGTACCGAAACAACGGGGCTTACGCCATTTCTGCATCGCTACAATCTTGCAGGTTGTTGGCAATGGGGAGAGGTGTATACCAGGTGACGATAGCCAGTGTGGTGACGAAGGGCCTGCGAAGCATTCCCGGTTAGCTCATCCAAAAGGTATAGCCATTGCAGCGGATAAGACGATGTATATCGCAGACGGTACGAATATCCGAGCTGTAGATCCTAGAGGAATGATACATACACTGGTGGGTAATCACGGTCACCAAAATCAATGGATCCCAACTCCATGTTCCGGATCAATCCCTGCATCTCAAGTAAGATCGTCTCATGTACGACTTTCGTGTGATAATTTCTTTCCAGACACAATTGCAATGGCCCACCGGTCTCTCACTGAGCCCATTAGACGGTTCGCTTCATTTCATTGATGATCGTCTTGTTCTGAAGTTAACAGCAGATATGAAAATTAAAGTTGTCGCTGGAACGCCTCTCCATTGTCACACGAAGGACGACAACTCTACGCATTTATCGAACGAGAATATTTTGGGGACGGTGCTTTCACTCGCGTTTTCACCAACTGGAGACCTGTACATTGCCGAAAGCGATAATCGGCGATTAAATTTCGTACGTGTTGTCGACACGGCTGGCCGAGTTACTCACTTTGCCGGAAAAACTCAGGACAAATTGAAAAGCAACTGCGAGTGTAACGCCAGTATTACAACGGCGAACCCTAGAATTACCCACGACTTGCCCACGGCTTGCATTTGTGGATCCACTGAAGAAACAACAAGCAACGCGGAAACACTTCTCTCCTCCAACGCGCGTTTCCAAGCAATTTCCGCACTAACGGTTTCTCCAAATGGCGTTTTACACATCGCCGATCAAGGCTCTTTGCACATTTTAGCTTTGCAACACTATCTACCCTCTCACGACGAAAATGGCGAATTTCACATACCCTACCCTCCAGCTGGCGAGGTCTACGTCTTCAATCGCTACGGCCAGCACGTCGCGACCAGAGATTTAGCATCCGCCAAGACTCGCTATTCATTCCTCTACTCCAAGAATACAAGCTTCGGCAAGCTATCAACTATTACTGACAGCTCCGGTAACAAAATTCAATTTCTGAGAGATTACAGTAACGCAGTTAGCTCAATTGAAAATACACAAGACCATAAATCTGAACTGAAAATCTCAGGAGTTGGATATCTGGTGAAACTGTCTGAGAAAGGGCGTTCGGAGATTGAATTAGATTACGATATGAACACGGGACTGCTGACCAGCCGGTCTGGAGGAGGTGAAACATTTATGTATCAATACGACTGGTTAGGCAGAACAGTTGGTGTCATTTTGCCGAGTGGAGAAACTCTCCAATTGAAATCTGGGTTAACGGTAGGGGAAAGTTTTGAAGTCGACATCAGTACACCACCCACCAAGTTTCTTATTACCGGAAAGGCTTCCAAGAAAATTGCTTTGATTGACCGTAAGTAATAGCTTTTGTATTCCATTGTACTCGAATACAATTTTTCAGAGTTGGAAACGACAGAAGCGATCACTTTTATTAATTCGAGTGTAATGATCAATTCCGCATGGGGTGGCCAGTTGCAAGTTGCGGCGTTGGCGAGGCATCCACTTTTAGAAGCGGCGCTTCCGGTTGAAGCGGAAATGTTGCCAATTTGGTCACAGCAGACGAGCACTTTCGGCGATGGTTTGCAAAATTTTATGTACACCAAGTTTTCGTTAGTGGGCGACGTTAGGAATCCGCAGCAAACTTTAAATCGCGAGATATTCGTAAATCATTCCAAGGCTCTCGGTATTGAGTTCAATCAATTTACTAGCAAGGAAATTTTTTATGATCACGATCAACAAACACTACTAGCTGTCACTTACGATCCCGCCGGTCTCCCACAATCGTACGTTCCCACCAAAGGAGCGGTAATGGTCAATATTTCTTACGATGGGTTTAACCGAATTGATGGGTGGAAGTGGGGGGTTTCTGAGCTAAAGTACAGTTACGATCGCCATGGTCTCCTGTCGGAAATAACAAGCTCGCAGGATGGTACCCAAATGTTCAACTACAATGACTGGAACATGCTTTCTAAAATAACGCTTGCCAGCCAACGTAGCTTTCTGTTAAGCTATGACGATGATGGTGGTTTGAGGCACGTCACTCTTCCAAGCGGTACCAAACATTCATTCAGCCTTCAATCTTCCCTTGGGTTTTTACGCGCCACCTACACTCCCCCTGGAAGCAACAGAGCGTTCCTGCAGCACTTCTCGCACACTGGCTTACTGCTCCAAACCGTTTATCCAGGTGATGGCGCTCGAGTCGTCTATCGATACACACCAAATGGTCGTATTAGCGAGACAGTGCATGGTGATGGAAAAACGCTCTACCATTATTCTGCTGAATCCGGACTTCCAAGTCAAGTTTTACACACGGAACCCGATGTGGAGTACCGATGGGATTATCAGTATGTGGGCGGTCTTCTAATGGAAGAACGAATCGACTTTAGTGCCAAATCGGGCCTTAGCAATGCGAAGTTTATGTACGACTATGATAATAACTACAGATTGACGAACGTCCAGGGAAGGATCGGTGGACAAAACTTGCCCCAATATAATATCGCATACAATTATAAAACTGGATCTCTGGAAACGATCGGGCCATTTAAAATTAATAAACCGCGATTTAATGAAACGAATGTCCACGATGGAACCGCCTTGTTTTCGCGAACCACCGATCCCCAGTTTTTGGAGACGCAGGTTGCGTTGACTATTCATGGCATGGAAGTGTTTCGAATGGAGTTTAGTCATGATATGCATGGGTAAGTTATTATTGATGCCCTCGGAAATGAATAAAATAAATTTTCCAGACGAATTGCTCAAACACGAACTTATACCAGAAATGTGGGAGTCAATAAGTACACTAACATAAAGAATTACACTTGGGACTGCGATGGCCAGCTATCGGGCGTGGAAGCACAAGAACCTTGGGGGTTTCGATATGATGACAACGGAAATATGCTTGCCTTAACATACAGGTTTGTTGAATTGTTTAATACTTCATTCGACATTTTTCCTGCAGAGGTAATACGATACCAATGGAATACAATAACATGGACAGAATTATAAAATTCGGAGAAGGGCAATACAAATACGACAACAGAGGGTCGGTAGTTCAGAACGCCCGAGAGGAAAAATTTCACTACAACGCCAAAGGTTTACTAGTGCGAGCCACTAAAAGAGGAAGATTCGACGTTCGCTACTTTTACGATCATATGGACCGGTACTATTTATATATAGGTACCCAATTCGATTTGATCGTAACGGTTTTGTTCTTCCAGGCTCATCACCCGAAAAGACAACTATGGCAATGTGACCCAATTTTTCTACAACAATCAGCAACATCCACGGGAAGTTAGTCAAATTTACTCTCCTAGAGATGGGAAATTAATGTCGCTGGTTTATGATGATAGAGGGCATTTAATTTATGCGCAGGTATGGTCGTAGTTTGCAGCCAGTTTAAGTTTCATTCTTTTCCGATAGGTTTACCGTCACAAGTATTACATCGCTACCGATCAATGCGGAACACCCATCATGATTTTCAATCAATATGGCGAGGGAATCAGAGAAATAATGAGGTCGCCCTATGGACACATTGTTTACGATTCAAATCCGTACTTATATTTACCAGTTGATTTTTGCGGTGGCCTTTTAGATCAGGTAAGTTTTGTCGGTACTATTTATTTTTACTTCCTTGGACTCTGCATAAAGACCTTTTATTCAACGATATCTCAGTACCTCCACATCTAATACCATCATGTATCTCTACACTGTAATATGCATTTACTTACACAATTCTCATAATCATCCCAGAAATTCTCCTCGACTCCTTGTCTGTCGAAAATTTTGGAGTAAGTACATAAATTGTTGTTGACATTTCTGGGGGAATTAAGGTAAATAAAATAATTTTTTTACAAAATGGGAAAGGACATGCCAAAAGCCTATGTTTTTGCAAGCTTTGGGATTCTTGGATCCCAGGATTCGTTTAGAAACATTCTTCCTTGTGGTCCGCTCTTCACACCTTAACTGAACTCAATTAAACACTCGTTTCAACGAAATTTTTTGTTGAAATGAAACAGATTTATTCAGAAGATTCCTATACTAACTTCCGTCAGTCGTCCAATGTCACGCGGTTTGACCGGTTTTTACACCATAGTGCTATCGTTAGCGTTTGAACACACCATTGAATAGAAAATTAAATTTTAATTTTGTTCAAAGGTAACATCGCTAGTGCATATGACAAATGGTAAGATATACGACCCGTTGATCGGACAGTGGATGTCGCCACTCTGGGAAAACGTCTTGGAACGAGTGGCCATGCCCACTCATTTACATTTATATCGACTAAATGGGAACGATCCAATTAACACGAGGCAGACGCGCGATCCTCCACTGGGTAACTTTTTTCGAGCATGTGCAATTATTACGACGTACTTTTGCAGACCATCTGAGTTGGCTTAGGTATATGGGGTACGATCTGAAAAATCTAGCACCGCAGCTGTATCCTGAGAGTTTTCCCGGTGGGTCAATGCCACCGATCCTTACAAAACCTCCAACTTTCTGGAGTCCGTCCCGAGACGCTTTAAGAACTCAGCTTAGTTTACCAAGCGCCTCGGTAAATGTTCAGTCAGGTTTCCTGGCTCGCTTAAATAGCCGTAAAATGACGGAAGCGAGACGACTGTCGGCACCTCCAAGATCGGCGTTAAAAACTGACGTAATGGACTTAATTCCGAAAAAGATCGGGGTGGCCTCGGATCCTCCTTTCGGAAAAGGTATTCTTGTGTCGAGGTCGCACGAAGGTCGCGCGATTGTTTCCAGTGTTCCAGCGGCCAATGCGATTTATCGAGATGTCTACACGTCAGTCTTTAACCGATCTTTTCTTCTACCCTTTTCGTTTGTTGTACACAATGCTCAGCAGGACGCGTTTTACTTCGTAAAAGAAGAAACGTGGAAAATCAACGACGACAAGGGGCAACTGAAGAGGCTACAAGGACAGGTAAACGCCACCTTTCACGAAATAACGAAAGAGAACGGAAGCGGTAACAATTATTTCGACGTAAAAATCCATGGAATGAATGCGGTAGTCAATTTGAGGTACGGTACGAACTTAGAAAAAGAAAGGCAGCGCCTACTGCATCACGCGAAATTGTCGGCGATTCGAAAAGCTTGGCATAAAGAGAAAGAGATGATAAAAAGTGGATTCTTTGGTAGCATAGATTGGTCCGCGAACGAAATTGAAGAGATAATGAAGCTGGGGTATGCCTCAATTTATGATGGTGAGTACATACACGACGTGCAGCAGTACCCGGAGCTCGCGGAGGATCCCTATAATATAAGGTTTGTGAAAAAACTTAACGACTCTTCAAAAAAACGAAGAAAGAAACGAGAAGCCAAAGTGTGCCAGCATCATTGGTGGCTAACATGGAGTAAATACGTCTGCTAGTGTATTAAACTTTTTAACAGACTAACAGAAGAAACTATTTTCAATTAACTAAGTGTGATGTACCAAGAATAAGCTTATTTAATCTATGAGACATTTTATACAAAATACCAAAGTCTATTTGTGTATTCAGAGATGCCAAAATGTATATTATTTATTTAACGATATGTTACCTATATGTATGTGATTTTTATCTGGTGCTGATGTTTAGCAAGTTTTTTACACGTAAGTTTTAAAATATTGACTGAATTATTAGTTTAAATATTAGCACCAGAAGTTCGTGTAAATATATGCATCATTATTATTAGTCATTGAATGAGAGAAATTAAATAAAGGTAGGAGCAACGATCCTATACAACTAACAATAAAAGCGAAACAGTGAACGAAAGGAAACAGTTAGAATGAGCGCCATATAGAAATATCAAAAATGAAATTGTAAATATAGTCCAGTTATAAAATTTTTAATAATTTTAATTAACCGAACGAATTTATCCTAGATAGGCAATGAACAAAATTACTAATACATGTTGTGTTGCTTTACTTAAGATATCATTGTGACTGATCTATGTTTATATTAGAAATATGCAGATTATCAGCTGTGTACCTTGCAAAAAGTATAAAGCCATGCCACGTTCCAAAGGGTTTATTTTTTACTACTCAGATGTTATATTTTTACCTGCCTGCATGTAGCAAAATTTTGTGTGCTGTTGTTACAGAGTATGTTTCACAATGTACTGATTTAATGTTATTGTAATTTATCTACTGTATGTTATTCACTGATTTACATACCTACCTATGTATCTGCTGAAACATAAATTTCTACTTCCTAATTGAACAGTGCAGAGTCTCAGTTAACTTTTACTCTTCATTGCATTTACATAGAAATTAAATAGGAAGGTAAAATATATTACTTTGCTACATATTTGATAATAATTCATTTTAAATTCTGACAAGTATTATGAATGTTTTTGAAGTAAAGAACTTGTTTTATACATTATGCGTCCATCACTTTCCTACTCCTGTTCAAACTAATTCCAGTTTTCTGAAGTCATACAGTTGGTCCAATTCACAGATCACAATAGAATAACTAGCAACATATACACTGTGGTCTTATAAATTTTAGGGCCAACAGAAAAAAGATCCTTTCGAATTTATATAGGTAAGTAGTTTAGTAGACTTGGTAAGTTAATAACCGATTTTTCTAACATCGGTCGTTACTGTTTCTATTTTGTATATTTTAAAAACTTTGCATTGTTTGAGAAATAGGTTTTTGGACATAACTTTTGACGTAGTGGTCTCGTCTTGGGTCGTTTTTGAAATGTTGATCTGTAGACTCACAAAACAGGTAAAATTTTCAAAGATTGTTTGTGTCCATAATTTTTGACGTAGCGGTCCAATCTTGAAAATTTTAGTAGTTTGCTTCTAAGGTTTTTCTACGGTCCATTTCAGACAAGTCAATTATAGCAAGTGGGGAGACATTTGCCTCTAAATGAAATCAATAAACAACGTCTGAACACAAAAAAAACCTCTTATAGATTTTGGAGTGTAGAATCTAAAACAGCAAGATTGGTAGATACTCGTATTAATTAATTTGATATTAAAGGAAACGTCGTTTAATTATACATTGCTGTCGCTTTCTACTCGTTTGGGTACCATGTTTTCGTATGCGATTCTTAATTAAAAAAGGAGCTAGCGGGCCTGGCCCACAACACTTTGGAACACAATATAGTGGTGCGTCAAATACTTCCATGTCCGTGCTTCTGATAATTTTTTCAGATTCGATTATGTATACGGGATATTCTGGAAATGGAGAGGTAGGTCATCCAATAATTGCGACGCTGTGCGAAGTGATAGAAGCTTTGAAGAACAGATTTGGAAAGGCAGAATTGCGTGAATTGCTAAAATGAGTAATCAGAAATTGTCAAAACCCACAATTTAAGCGTTAAGTGTCATATTTGCTACTCTAGAATCACATTTAAGGTCTCTAGAGTCACTGGGTGTTACAAGAGAAAAATATGCGACTATGCTATTTCCGCTGGTTGAGTCAAGTGTGCCCAATGAAACTTGTTATTCAAGATACAAAACTCAATAAATTAGCCAATTTGATGAAATTTATGGAAATCGAAGTGGAAGGAGAAGAAAGAATTAAATTGCCTCGAGCCTGTCTTATCTCGAGATCTATGTGCTAAGCCATTCCACAGTTAGTCATACAAGTACAGTTCGTAAAGACAGCAGTTGCGTATTTTGTGAGGGTATTCATGACAGGGACAGATGTATAAAGGCACAGAATTTAACTTTGGAAGGTGCATTGTGCAGAAACGTTGTTTTTGTTGTTTGGCAGGAGGTCATGGAGCAAGATTTTGTAGAAAACAAATAAGTTGTCCAGTATGCTGAAGGAAGCATTTTGCAATGGGTTTTAACGCGAGAATATTACTTGATAGTGGGACTCAGAGAAGTTACGTAAAAGAAGATGTCGGTCTGAGTCTAGTAGCAATGTTTGTGGAAACGGAGTATTTGACACAAGCAGTTTTTGGATCCATTAAACCTGCTAGAAAATCAATAAATATAAATATAAGGTGCAGTGTTTAAACAGTATGCAACAAGTCAACAAATCGAAGCATTGGGACAGAAGAAAATTTGTGAATATATTCCTAAACTATATAGTGGTTCGTGGTTACATGAGATGTCCAACAAGTGTATAACCTTCCTTTTTTACCAAAAATCGACTACACCAAAATTTCTCCTTATTATTATCGATTCTACAGGCCACATTCTATAAGGAAAATTTTTTTCCGGGTCGATCTGAGACAATTTTTTTTCGGGCCTCAAAAAAAGGGAGTGTATAACCTTCCTTTTTTACCAAAAATCGACTGCACCAAAATTTCTCGGGAAAACACTTTTTCTTATTAATTTTGGTGCGTAGAATCCAAAACAATTCGTACTTTTTCGATCGACTTTTTGAACTAATAGCCCAATCTTGGAACTGTTTGAAATTATGGATTCTACAGGCCACGTTCTATAAGAAAATTGTTTTTCCGGGTCGATCTGACTTTTTTTTGAACTAATAGCCCAATCTTGGAACTGTTTGAAATTATGGATTCTACAGGCCACGTTCTATAAGAAAATTGTTTTTCCGGGTCGAGACAATTTTTTTTGAGGCCCGAAAAAAAAGGCCGCCTTTCCAGTACCTACATTCTACTGTCCTTACAGAGCTCTTTAGACAGTATCTAGGTTCACCTAAAAACACACAAATTATTGTCTCAATCACACCTCCTCTAGCGAACACTTAGGGTGTTTTCTTAAAAAAATTACGATCGCGCAGATTTTTTTCAAAATGCAGTGCAACAGCATATGCCTATATTTAACCGTTTATGAATACTAACCATTGAAATGAGTGGCATTATTACCGTATTAATATCTGCATTCTGCAATACCTGCTTATAATTCGTAAACGGGTTAAGCACTTGCTTTCATGGAGTCTTCTGTGTAAATTTACATTGTCTTATTTGTGCAAATGTTGCGTCATTTTTAGAGCGTTTATGAATAATGTTCCGTCTCCGCAAAATTATATTCAAATTGTTGATTCGGAATAGGTACCAACCTCAAACCTGTGATCCTAACTAGTTCAGCTTCGATATACATTGTCAATAGCGAAATCATCATGCATTACAATGACCAATCAGTACTACACAACCAACTTGAAGATTCAACTTGGAGCAAAGAATAATTATTAGTTACTCTTTGCCTGGAGTGTGCAGGTAAGCGAACTTATCAACTGGACCTAAAAATGTAGGCGAAATCTTGCCATTGCGGTGTCCTTGATGTCATCTCACGGCACTTTTCGTCTTATTTTTAACCAAATATGATCCAAGCGTCTATCACCATAAGAACATGGACAATTAAAGGTATCCACAACCATAAAGGGAATAGGGACGCAGCAATTTTAAGGAGGGGGCGGTGTAACGAGTGTTCTAGTTGGTATGTGTGGCTATTTGCTCACAGTTATAATAAAGTTTATTTATTATTTCACATCAGTCGTATTACAAGAATGGCATTTTCATCATTACAGGGTAACAGGCAAACTTTGGGAATAAAACTGAATTTTTAGAGAATCAAATAGGTTTATAGTCATTTACAATTCACATTATAAATATGTTTTCGTCTATTATTTTAAATAATAGAAATAGAGACGTGAGTATCCTTAAAAATATGCCTATGTACAATTTGATATTTAATTATGTTAAAAGCAATCCAACATTCTCAACATTGAGAACTATATTTAATTTTGATGTAATTATAAACTGCGATAAACACCAAAAAGCTATAATCGTATTACCTAATAATAATAGTAATGATAATAATGATAAAATAGGAGGCGTCCATGACAACGATGATATCTAATGGAAGAGGTACGTGAGGCGAACTTTGGATGATTGTTTAATAACGATATTGTCATGAAAGCCTTTCTCATTTGGCCGAGCCTAAAGAATACATAACTGTTAAAAGATCACAGCATACACTACAATAATCCGAGAGATCTGGAACTAGGTGATGGAGACTGTGCTCACAAGTCTTTCTTTATCTATGGTAATAATACTGCAGCGGCGTATTCTAAGACGGGATAAGTTTTGCTCCACAAATTGTCAATTCACCGCGATGATTTTTTACAATGAAATCTATTTTGCACTGGCACCTTCATTTCAGAGTTTGTATCTCCAGTAAGTACACGACTTATACAATACGTATTATAGATACAAAAATAAATTTATATATAAACCAATCACAATTGGATTAGAAATAAAGAAAGGACAAACACACACGACTGACCTTTGTCCGTTTGGAAGCCCAAAAACTCGCAAAATCAAGTCAAATGACAAAGCGCAACGGTTTTTAAACAGTTTTCATTTGAAGTTAAAATTAGTCTAACAAGGCACACATTTGTTCATAAATTATTCGTTGAAACCCTGTGATGGTAATTCACAATCTTTTTGATCCACGCAATAGCACCATATATTACACTTAAAACACTACCAGCGCCAAAAGCCCTGGATTTTTCAGCCACCCTCACACTTCCGTTCCATCTTCGCCTTCATCCTCGAACAAAGGACCGGTGGATATCCGTTTTTTGGGTTTTGGTGGTGGTCTTGGTGGAATTTTTGTTATTTTACCATCAGGGGTTGTGGGTAAGAGTGAAGAGGTGGACTGTCTTCTCGAGTCGTTATCTATACTTTTCAAGCTGCTCGTATCCGAAGTGTTTCTAATCCAGTTGGGCTTTTGAAACTCGTTTGTTGGCGCACGAAGAGACGCACTATTTTTTGGCAGAGTCGCGGATACTCCGATTGCTTCGTGTTCGGCGATCGGATGCCAGGGAACTGAAGAAGCTGGAGTTGAAGGATTCGCGTTTCGAGGAATT